TTATTTGATTTGGGATTTGTTTTAAAATGTCAAGTTAGTATATTGTTTGACATTTTCAATTTCACAAAGTGATGTGCAGCCTTTTGGTCTGAGAAATAACAAAAGGACACCTTTTTAAAAATCTTATAAAAGTCTTAAAACTCAATTTTGTTCAAAAAGAAATTGTGAGAAAATTGTATTGTGAAATCAGTATCGTGAATCATATCACATCGTGAGTTGAGTGAATCGCTACATCTCTATATGCTACTCATTTTTGCTGTGGTATCGAAGTAGTAAATTGTTCTTTAAATAATAAGTGTTACTTAAATAATAAAGAACCATATTTATTTTGCTTATCTGAAAAATGATCCTATCTGTGACTCAAAATGTGATATGATAATATAATATAATCCGAACCGTGAGATTTGTGATCCGTTGTACCTCTACTCTCTTGACTTGTTATTTGAAGAAAAAATACAATATCTTTTATTCAGGCTAGTTAAATTCATTTTGGGGCTACCAAAATCTGAAGAACGTCTGCCCGAAGGGCTACCAGGGATTTTGAAATTTTGTGAGCCCTGCTTCAGAAATTATTCAAACATGCTGATTTGGTGCTCAAGCAACATACTTTTTTTATTATCAATGTTGAAAACATTCGTGCTGCTTATTTTTATGAAAACCATAATGCATTCTTTTCAGGATTCTTTGATGAATAGAAAGTTAAAAAGAACAGCATTTATTTGAAATACATTTTTTTTGTAATAATGTTAGTTTTTATTATCACTTTTATTCATTTAATGCATCCTTGCTGAATAAAACGTTTGAACGATACTTAATATTATCAGCATTACAATTAACATGAATTTCTTATTATTTGCTAGGCCTATGTCTCCCTTTAGCTTGTATGTTTTCAATTTTATCCAGCATGCTTTGAGAATGTTTATTTTTTATTTTTTAAAGGATCTTGTGTGAAATGATGGGTGGGCCAAACTCATGTTTAGAAAGGCCAGTTATATACCTCAAAAACCCGATTACTGCAGGACTTCCTAGCTGACGGCCGGCTCCATCTAGTGGGGAAGGCCATACACTATCACAATGTACACTGGACATTTACTCAAATATATAAAAAAAATAATATCCCATTATATGTGGTCAATAAGTTGCTGCACACATTGTATTTTAATTTGGATTAGAAACTAACTTTGTTATAGCACCATAGATTTAATTTCACACAAGAAACAAGTGTATAGAATGATATCACAAATCTAAGAAGTTAAATACACTGCCTACAAAACATACATGACAAAAAACTAATACTACCTGCAGTAAGGCACTGAGTTCACACAGCAGATGGTATATATACACAATCCATATATGACTCCCACTGTGTCCCATCCCCCTGATCTGCTTTGATTCATCACACTCGTGTCACCATGGTGACAGTGAGATGAGTAACAGTAGATCTGGTGAGTGGTCACAAACTGTTGGATGTGTAATCATGAAAGAAGTGGTGCTCATCACTGGCAGCATTGTCTGTGTCCATCTGTTGTTTCAGGTCATGTGTGGTGTGATTTGTTATGTAATGATGACATTAGGAAAATGGTCTTCATATGGTTTATATAAAGAACTAACTGCTTTGAAATGCTTATGATTTGGATGGTGATGAAGTACCACCAGTTATACTGTAGCCAGGGCCATTTCTAGCCAATTTGACGCCCTAGGCGAAATCCCTATATATACAAGCTTTATCAGTGGCATAAAACTAACCAATGCAGCTACTTAATCATTTGCTACTCGTTAACGCGCTAACATCCCCTTTAAATAACGTGACGCTCTGCCCTCTATGACGCTGCTCCCATTAAGCGCTGTTGGAAGTGAATGAATTGATTCAGCATTTCGACATCTCCGTAAGGATGCATTTAACTCGACAAATAGTCTAATAAAGGATGTATTGATCTCGTGAATTAGCGAATTTTACTATACAAATATTTTTTAATTGGATGTTAAAGTTTATATGGGAATATTACATGACACGCTGATCCTTTAACAGTGCATTGGCGCAAAAAACGCACACCTTTTGGACAAATCTGCCACAAATATTTGGTCAAAAGTGCCACAAATACTGCCTAAACAAAATACTGATTTTGTGCACTTTATTTACTGTACCAATATTTTAAATTGGCCTTTGAACTTAGCTTTATTGCATGGCAAAAAAAAAGTGTTACCTTGCCAAAGCACTGATCTAATGGCGTTGTTGAGCGCTCCAAATGCAAACTTTGCATGCAACAATAAGGCAGCAATTGCCAGCACTCTGATCTAGTGGCATGTAGGCATCGTCAGATTGACAGTACTCTAGCCCAATAATGTTGGGGGATCCAGTGGGGGCGGCAGTCATATTTCAGGGTGACCGTGCCACTCTTTATCACAACCCTGCTAAAAGTGCCAGTACGTGCGCTCATTGGTGCCCCTTCAGCTGGTGGCACCCTAGGCGACCGCCTAGCTTGCCTATGCCTAGAAATGGCCCTGACTGTAGCGCCCAACAGAGCCTTTGAGATAAAGTGTTCTTCTGTACAATATTGTTAGATTGTACAAAGCTGACATAACTATATTAAAACCAATAAAATGCTGTCAAATACTGTTTCATACAAGGGGTGCCCATTCCTGTTCCTGGAGATCTACCCTCCTGCGAGGTTCAGCTCCAACCCTAATCAAACACACATGAACAGGCTAATTAAGATCTTCAGGAACATTTGATAATTACAGACAGGTGTGTTGGAGCAGGTTTTGCACTGAACTTTGAAGGAAGGTAGATCTCCAGAAACAGAATTGGGGACCCCTGCCCTAAAGTACTGGTTCTCAATTCCTATTCTGGGGTAAGGTGACCATATGTGCCTTTTTCCCGGGACACGTTCTGGCCAAGATTTCTATATTGCCTAAAATAACCAGGTTTTGGTTGTTTGTGCCGCGCAAATCGATCGTTGTGTCATCTAAGTACCATGAGAGCTGTAGAGAGCGAGCAGACAGCTCCTTATGCTTTCGAATCGCTTTCGCGGTTCTTTGATGTCATACACTGATCGGTCTGTGCAGCACTGCTTCCAGTTGAACACACCTGATATGTACACGTATTTGCATTGCTTGGACCGTTCTCTGTAGATCCCACCTTCTCACACACCACAATTGGTCAATTATGTATAATGCCTGCATGTTATTCGTTATCTTCAGCAAGTATGAAAACAAGAAAACAAAGCCAAAATCTGGATATTTTTTAATACAATACAGAAATCCTGGCCAGAACATGTCCCCGGAAAATGGCATGTATGGTCACCTTATTCTGGGGACCCCCTGCTCACATTTTGCATGTCCCCTTTATTTAACACAACTGATTCAGATCATCAGCTTGTTAGGAGAGAGATCCATGAACTGAACTGAGTGCGTCAGATAAGAGAGACATACAAAATGTGCAGAGCAGAAAACTGGAATTGAGAACCACTGCCCTAAAGTAACATGGTGATGGAAAATGCAAAAGTATTGCATTGCTCGGCCAGTCGGTTGAAATCACCGGGGGGCCCCCCAACAGCCGTGAGCCCCTATAGTCGCCACCTAGCGACGGCTATGGAGAGAATGCAAAGTTGCAGAGCGTACAAAATGTCTTAGGGGAACGCGATTACATTTGAGAAAGAAAGCAAATGTTTCACGAGAGAAAGCAATGTCTTGGGAACACAATACGTTTGCGAAAGAATGCAAATGTTTTGCGAGAGACCGCAAAATGTCTCAGGAGAACGCAATATTTTTGCAAGAGAACACAAAATGTCTCAGGGGAACGCAATACTTTTGCAAGAGAATGCAAATGTTTTGAGAGAAAACGCAAAATGTCTCAGGAGAACGCAATATTTTTGCAAGAGAACACAAAATGTCTCAGGGGAACGCAATACTTTTGCAAGAGAATGCAAATGTTTTGAGAGAAAACGCAAAATGTCTCAGGGGAACGCAATTGTCACGCCCCTGGACTCTATCTGTGTGTTTTTCCCTCTCCATGTGCCTGCCCTGACCTGGTTTTCCCATGTTAATTGTTTATTGCTCCCAGGTGTGTCTCGTCATCCCCTTGTCAAGTCATGTGTTTTAAAGTGAGTCCTGTTCAGTGTTTCTTCGTCTGGTATAGAATGTTCATCTTACCCCGCTACGTGTGTGTTCCTGGTTCCATTGGATGTTAATTAAAGTCCGTTTGTTTGAAGTCTACTCCACGTCTCCTCGCTCCGTGCTCCTCACAGTAGCGGATCGTGACAGCAATATGTTTGCGAAATTATGCAAATATTTTGTGAGAGAATGCAAATGTTTTGTGAGAGAATGCGAAATGTCTCAGGGGAACGCAATATGTCTGCGAGAAAATGCAAAATGTCTCGGGGGAACGCAATGCTTTACAGTGCAAAAGGGAATGCAATACCTTGGGGCAAGAATACTTTTGCAAAAGAATGCAAAATATCTCAGGGGAACACAATGCTTTTGCAAGAGAATGCAAATGTTTAGTGAGAGAATGCAAAATGACTCAGGAGAACGCAAAACTTTTGCACAAGAACATAAATATTTTGCGAGCAAAGGAAACATTTCTCGGAAGAATGCAATACCTTTGTGAAAGAATGCAATTGTTTTGCTACCGAATGCAATGTTTGCAATGTTTTTCGTGGGAACAAAACACTTTTGCACGATAGCGCAAATGTTTTGCGAGAAAATTCTAAATTTTTCAGGGAACATAACACTTTTGCAAAAGTTTGAAGGATTAACACAATATATGGGGAGAGAATGCAAACTTTCTAGGGGAAAGTTATACATTTGCGAGAATTTTTAATTACATATTTATTTCCATCACCATGGCCCCTTAGGGCAGGGATCCTCAAATCTGGCCCACGAGATCCACTTTCCTGCAGAGTTTAGCTCTAACTCTAATCAAACACACCTGAGCATGCTAATCAATGTCTTCAGGATCATTAGAAAATCACAGGTAGGTGAGTTTGATCAGGGTTGGAGCTAAACTCTGTAGCGCATTGGCCCTCCAGGGCAAGATTTGAGGAACCCTGCCTTAGGGGCTCCGTAGTTTCAGATTATGTAAACATAAAATGATTCTAGTATCATGTTTGACAGTCTTGTCTCCTCATGGCTTCAGTTTTAAGCTTCTTTCTTGAATACTTGAAATTGAAATGTAATACCATGTTCTTCATGAATTTCATCTGGTACTCCAGAAAAGCTTTAATAAAGAAAATCAACAATTAATAAGACAAATTAAAAGCATTTGATGCATAATATGGGGCAAGTCTTATAAGTAACACTTTACGTTTCCATTTGTTAACATTAGTTAACTACATTAGTTAACACAAACTAAGATTAATAAATGCTTTAAAAGTATTTTTTAATTGTTAATGTTAATTTCAACATTTCCTATATTATTAAAATCAAAAGTTGTCCGTTAATTTAATGGACCTGAACTTACATGAACTAACAATAAACAAACATTAACAAAGATTAATAAACACTGTAACAAATGTATTGTTCATTGTTAATATTAGACAATGCATTAACTAATGTTAACAAATAGGATCTAATTGTAAAGTGTTACCTTATTATCTTTGTAACTCATATAATAAATGAGAGGATAATCCTACCGCTTTTGTTTTCTGAAAACATTGCGGTCAAATTTTGGGAAAAAGACATTGCAGTCAAAGTCGGCCATGATGTCGGTGAGATAGATGAGATCACACCATGGATGCTCAAGACTTTCCTAAATAGCACAGTTACAATATAAATTGAATTAATGTATTCATTAACATAATATATATTATTATATTCATGTTGCATAAATCAGGCTTCTCACCTTATATACCTCTGGACCTCCTAAAACCCAGATGGTCTCCACAATGTGACATAAAGGAGGCTTAGAAGCCAGGTGAATTACAGACCCGAAATCCTTACACAGATAGTGGGCATGTGGAGGCACTGGACTGAAGTAATGTAGAATATAGTAAATAAATACAGAAATCATAATATGCACTACTTTTAAAAAATTTGGGGTCAGTATATTTTTTAATGTTGTTGAAAAAATATCTTCTGCTCACCAAGGCTCATTTATGTTATTAAGAATACAGTAAAAATAGTAATAATGTGAAATTATTTTAAAAAAAGATTTTTTTAAAATTATTCTTAATTTATTCCTGGGATGGCAAAGCTGAATTTTCATCAGTCATTACTCACTTCAGTGTCAAATGATGCTTCAGAAATCATTCTAAAAAAAAAAAATAGTTTTTTAAAAATTATTCTTAATTTATTCCTGTGATGGCAAAGCTGAATTTTCATCAGTCATTACTCACTTCAGTGTCAAATGATGCTTCAGAAATCATTCTAATATGCTGATTTGCTTCTTAATGGTTTATTATCAATGTTGAAACAGTTGTGCTGCTTAATATTTTTCTGGAAACTGTGATACATTTTTTAAAGATTATTTGATGAATGTAAAGTTTCAAAGCATACAACATTTATTTGAAATATAAATCTTTTATAACATATAAATGTCTTTACTGTCACCTTTGATCAATTTAATGCATCCTTGCTGAATACTTTTGATTTATTTAAAAAAAAAATCTTACTGACCCTAAACTTTTGAATGGTAGTGCACATGCATAAAAATGTTTATTAATGAATATGCTTACCTCATCTTCCTGCTCAATACCAAATTTAAGCAGTTGGCCAAAGGGAAGACTGTTTCAGGACAGGAGAACCAGGATATTCGGCCCCAGACAAGCAGATTCTTCTTTCCTGATGTGCATAATTTCCTCATAATTTCGTCATACTGTTAAAATTACATCAACTAGAATATAAATAAAACCAAACATAAAATTTAAAGCCACTTACCAGGTGCTGACACAGCTGTAATTGTGTCTATAAAGAACTGAAATTCTTTTCTGTAAACAACATGAGCACATTAGACATTGATATACATTAATTCAGCTTTGATAACTACATGGTGTGCAAAATGCAATTTGAGCTGCATGACAAATATCTTTGATGGGTTTATAGCATATAAAAAAGCAGGGCTGTGTGCCAAAGTCAAAAGTTGAACCAAGGATATCCTCCATCATACTGCATGCATTGATCCTCCTATTTAACATGTATGGCTGAAAAGGCTCATACCAACATAATATTCAATACCATAAATATAAAGAAATTCCCAATAGCCTATAATTCCTATGCTATCTGTCTGCATGTGTTGTTATCTCTTCTCTCAAATGGGGCGGGCTTTGGGGGGGCTTGAAGTTTCCATCTCTCTAATTCAAAAAACTGCTGACATTCAGACATTCAGTTTGCGTTCTAAAGGTCAGTGACATATTCCACGAATAGGATACCAGAGAGAGAGAGAGAGAGAGAGGGTTCAGAAAATGTTCAAAATGACAAGGTGTTATAAAACATTCAAAATTTTAAAATAAAAAGATCAAAACAACTTATAAGCTGTTATTTTAAGTTGTTTATGTTTATAAACACACACACACACACACACACACACGTTTGTTTCTGTTAATTAAACCATCACAGGAAAAAATACTAAAATGTATTTAAATATATATAATAGATAATTGGTTTAAATGATAGTAGTATTTCAAGATATACTGCTAAAATTTCAAAATAATTATGCTTTTACTGTATTTTTGATCAAATAAATGCCTTATTGATGAGGCATTATAAAATATAACGTTATAAATGATCAAATCTTACCAACCCCAAACTTTTGAATGGTATACTGTCAGATATTAATGTTCGGGCTTTCAGATTTATTTAGGCTACAATTTTTAATAATTTTTTCCCCTCGTGGGGACCGCAGACCAGTCACAATGTATAGCATAGCCTAAATAAGTACACACACACACACACACACACACACACACACATTCTTTCATTTAATGAGATACAATGTTACAATAACTTCTTACTTGTCTTGTACCAATTTACTTGAATTGTAATTGTTGCACAGTGAAGTTCAAGACCTCTGACATCGGACAGACAGGCTATACAACGATTTTTTAAAGCTGCTTTCCATTTCATGATAGTTTCTATAACATATTTAATTGACTTCACAACAAAACATTGAATTTGTGCCTCGAATGCCAATAAAGGCTTTGGGCACCTTAGTATCAAATATTCGTTACGTCACGCCGTTCATCTGATTACTGATTCATTCATATCTAACATAACTCATAAAATACAGCGATTCCAGCTGGATGAAATCACTGTATTGGATGATGGTTGTCTTACGGAAGACACCAGGGAAGCTGTCCGTTCTTTCCTATGCCCATGTCACTGCAGACAGCCGCGATAAGGCGGATTGGTTTGCGCGTCTCCTCCCCCTCGATGTTCATCGTTTACGACTTTCGCTAAAAGCAGCTTAACTGGTTTATCATACAAACTAGGCTACCGTCGTCCAGTGGTTTTAGGATGAGGCGTTCGCATCCTTCTCGACCTCAACCCCAGTTAGATTATAGAGTTTAAAACATTAGCTTGGCTCACCGTGACATCCAGTGGGCGTGGCTGTCTGTAATCAAGGGTGTCTACAGGTTAAAGAACCAGATGGATAAAAAAGTAACATTATTTTAACTACACCTTTATTATATAATTCTGATAAAAACAATCTTAATTGTCATGTGTACTAACACCCCTTTGCTTAAAAGTAAACTAGCTAGACCAGTAAACTGTAGTCTTTTGTAGCCAATCGGAAGCAAACCATCACAGGAAAAAATACTCAAATGTATTTAAATATATATAATAGATAATTGGTTTAAATGATGGTAGTATTTCAAGATATACTGCTAAAATTTCAAAATAATTATGCTTTTACTGTATTTTTGATCAAATAAATGCCTTATTGATGAGGCATTATAAAATATAACGTTAAAAATGATCAAATCTTACCAACCCCAAACTTTTGAATGGTATACTGTCAGATATTAATGTTCGGAAGGCAAGAACTGCATTTACACCGTGTCTACACCGGACGCGACAGTTGTCGTGTCGCCCCGCAACAGCTGAAGTCTTGTCTACACTGGACGCGACAAAGAGACCATTGAAAGTCATTTGAAATTTGTGTCAGTACGTCATAAACAGAACGCAGCAGCAGTTTACTGTCAGGAATTTCGCGCCGCGCCGCGTCCGGTGTCGACAGCATAATAGTAGGTTCTATTGTATTTTGTCGCGCCCCTCACGTCCGGTGTCGACACGGTGTTACTCGGTGAAATTTTCCATGTCTTTACTGTGTACATGTATTTTAAAATTTAGGGTTTTACAATCAGTCTTTGTTCAAATCATACAAACATAATAATAGCTAATCTGATCGTGTAAAACAGATTACACGTGGTCTGTTAACCAACACTGATGTGAACGTTAAAATTATTTTTTTAATATGAATGATCTCATAATTACTTCAACAGGTTTATCATGTTTTAATGGTGATTTATAAAGAAGACATTACAACATTCAAAAAAAGGCATGGTCTTTCATATAAAAAATATAACAGCGAGTCTGTAAATAAAATAGAAAAAAGTTATGTACAATGGTTTGCGGACTGATTTACTTAAAGTATACGCTTATATACATAGTAGGTTTTGTTTCCCTGGAATTGCCTTGAAACAAATCCATTTGTGCTTAAGAGCCGCAGGCCTCAATGATCGTTACTCCATTATAAAAAGCAAAAATCAAACTTAATATACAGATTTTTGCTCTGGACTTAACAGACATTTTAATGTGTCTATTTATAAATTTGAATTGAACATTTAGATCAATCAAATCCTTTGACTTGACAAAAAGTTTAAAGATTCTCAATTAGTGGCCAGTATGCTTTCGATTATCGTCTATTAAGATATGAATTTCCAAATAAATCCCTCTTAATATTACATAGCACAGTTATTGCCAAAAACCCAACACTTCACAAATGGACATCAAATAGTATGCTAGAGACACAGACTTTCAAAGAGAAACTGATGACTGACGTTTGGATTGCATGAATACTACAAAACATTTTCCTCCACAATTCATCAACATACAGCTTTAAAAAATGTAGACATCTTAAATGCTGTACATACATTATATCATCCCGAACGGCTTAGTTTACAGTTTCCTGGGCCACCACACGTTTGACCTCAAGGCTAACTCGAGCTATACAAGCAGAATGACATCATGGCAAAGCATAAAGTGAAAGTGATGTGACAAATATGAATGATCTCATAATTACTTCAACAGGTTTATCATGTTTTAATGGGGATTTATAAAGAAGACATTACAACATTCAAAAAAAGGCATGGTCTTTCATATAAAAAAATATAACAGCGAGTCTGTAAATAAAATAGAAAAAAGTTATGTACAATGGTTTGCGGACTGATTGAAGTATACGCTTATATACATAGTAGGTTTTGTTTCCCTGGAATTGCCTTGAAACAAATCCACTTGTGCTTAAGAGCCGCAGGCCTCAATGATAGTTACTCCATTATAAAAAGCAAAAATCAAACTTAATATACAGATTTTTGCTCTGGACTTAACAGACATTTTAATGTGTCTATTTATAAATTTGAATTGAACATTTAGATCAATCAAATCCTTTGACTTGACAAAAAGTTTAAAGATTCTCAATTAGTGGCCAGTATGCTTTCGATTATCGTCTATTAAGATATGAATTTCCAAATAAATCCCTCTTAATATTACATAGCACAGTTATTGCCAAAAACCCAACACTTCACAAATGGACATCAAATAGTATGCTAGAGACACAGACTTTCAAAGAGAAACTGATGACTGACGTTTGGATTGCATGAATACTACAAAACATTTTCCTCCACAATTCATCAACATACAGCTTTAAAAAATGTAGACATCTTAAATGCTGTACATACATTATATCATCCCGAACGGCTTAGTTTACAGTTTCCTGGGCCACCACACGTTTGACCTCAAGGCTAACTCGAGCTATACAAGCAGAATGACATCATGGCAAAGCATAAAGTGAAAGTGATGTGACATGTGGCCAAATGGTAAGGAATTAGTGCTCTGCATTTATCCCATCCGAAGTGCACACACACAGCAGTGAACACACACTGTTAGATTCCCAGCTAGTCTAGGGTTAGAGGAACAAGTAACAGAATAGAAAAGGTGATGTGTGGAGGCAGCAAGACTCAATTCCCAACCCCAGAGCTTTAACAAAGGCCAAGAATCTCGATATCAAAACAAGTTATTTTATTTGACAGATATGGGAGGATGTCAAAACTTCAAGAGGGGGCAAGGCCAAAATAACAAGTATAAACCCTCTAACTATTTGGGAGAAACTAAGCTATACAAAGAAAAGAAAAGAAAAATACAATAGATATAACTACCTCCCTAACTAGCATAAACAAGAGAAAAACAAAATAAAGAAAATGGCACCCACCTCTCTACTAACACTTTCCCAATAAATTAACAATGTAAATGTAATAGATAACAAACAGTAACATAAGTAGGGACAAAACAAATAACTTCCAAAACAAACCAGATTTCTTGTCGTAGGCATCAAGTACCACAAGAGTGTCAACACAATAACACTGGGAAGAAATCATTCAACAAAGTATTAACCAAAACCACTAATAAAGCTTTTAGGGTTGAGAATAGAAGCCTCCCAACGCAGCCTCCCCACACACCCTGCTTAAATCCTCACGGCTTCCCTTCCTCCTGCAATCACATCAAATCACCAATCATTGGAATCAGGTGGCAGCCATTACCTCCTGCTTGTAGGAAGTAAAAGGGATAGAGAGAAAGAGAGAGAAACCTGGAGAGAGAGAGAGAAACCTGGAGAGAACAATCGGGAAAAAACAAATACGTCCTTGGACGTAACACGCGCACACGCACCCCGTGAACACACACCCGGAGAAGTGGGCATGCATTTATGCTGCGGCACCCGGGTAGCAGTTGGGGGTTTGGTGCCTTGCAGGTGGAAGAGAGCGCTGTACATTCACTCCCCCCACCTACAATTCCTGCCGGACCCGAGACTCAAGCTCACAACCTTTGGGTTACAAGTCCGACTCTCTAACCATTAGGCCACGACTTCCCCGAAAAGCTAAAGAAAATGGCACCCACCTCTCTACTAACACTTTCCCAATAAATTAACAATGTAAATGTAATAGATAACAAACAGTAACATAAGTAGGGACAAAACAAATAACTTCCAAAACAAACCAGATTTCTTGTCGTAGGCATCAAGTACCACAAGAGTGTCAACACAATAACACTGGGAAGAAATCATTCAACAAAGTATTAACCAAAACCACTAATAAAGCTTTTAGGGTTGAGAATAGAAGCCTCCCAACGCAGCCTCCCCACACACCCTGCTTAAATCCTCACGGCTTCCCTTCCTCCTGCAATCACATCAAATCACCAATCATTGGAATCAGGTGGCAGCCATTACCTCCTGCTTGTAGGAAGTAAAAGGGATAGAGAGAAAGAGAGAGAAACCTGGAGAGAGAGAGAGAAACCTGGAGAGAACAATCGGGAAAAAACAAATACGTCCTTGGACGTAACACGCGCACACGCACCCCGTGAACACACACCCGGAGAAGTGGGCATGCATTTATGCTGCGGCACCCGGGTAGCAGTTGGGGGTTTGGTGCCTTGCAGGTGGAAGAGAGCGCTGTACATTCACTCCCCCCACCTACAATTCCTGCCGGACCCGAGACTCAAACTCACAACCTTTGGGTTACAAGTCCGACTCTCTAACCATTAGGCCACGACTTCCCCGAAAAGCTAAGCATGGAGGAGTAGATATGGCATGCGGACACATTGTCCTTTGTGCTACGGTTCAGGAAAGGTCCAAACACTAGTCTGAGGAGGGGTGCGTGTAAATCCTTGCTTCCGAGACAGCTAGTTACTGTCATGCCTCTGAATCTTCAATGCACTGTCTGAAGCTCTGTCTTCATTATGTCGTTTCAAAGTACTTGTCCCTCTCCCTGAACACAAAAACAGTATGTGAGGTTATACGTTCTATTTTACAACATTATTGTTGGAGTGGCATGAAAAACAAACACTACCGTTCAAAAGATTGGGGTTTTGTCTTTAAAGAAATTAATACTTTTATTCAGCAAGGACACATTAAACTGATCAAAAGTGACAGTAAAGATATTTATAATGTTACAAAAGATAGTGGTCCTGACAGAACTGTTTTTACTGTACTTTTGCTCAAATAAATTCAGTCTGGAAGAGAATAAGAGGCTTTTTAAAAAAAACATTTAAAAAATCCTACCGCCCCAAAACTTCTGAATGGTAGCGTAATTGTCCACAAATGAATAGCCCTGATTTTGAATAGTCTGTGCTTTCATCAAAATAAACCTCCACAAACATGAGGTAAACCCTTCTTTTTAATGCAAGATCGGATGGGTTTAAACTAGTCTGTCAAGGAAGTGCAGTTCAGTTAAATCAAAACATTTTAGGCCACATTGAGACATAAAACTGCTTTGTGGTTCAATACAGCTTGAGTTCAGAATCTGTTAAGAGTCCTCTGAATTGGTTTGGACAGAACTCACCTCTCTGTGACTGTTTGTGAGCTTGTCCAACCATACCACTACCTGAGTAACCTAGATTAGAAAGAAAAAACTTATTAAATCTTATAAAAGCAGCCTAAGGCCTGTTTCATACTTTAGATGTCAACAGCATTCATTATATTTCAAAACCCATGCAGCTGTGTCAGTACACACCTGGTTGTGGCTGCACAATAGTTCCAGACTGCTGATCACATGACACTGGAAATGGTGAGAACTCTGGTTGAGAACTTGCTGGTGATGGGTGCACTGGTAAAATATAAATATACATATTTTAACACAATTACAACTGAAATGAACCAAACTGCCAATACGCATGATGATTTAAATTGAATGAAATTTGGATCAATTTGACCAGTGTTTCACAAAAACAGGGTTCAAAACCATTTCCAACATTTTTGTGGTTAGAAGTTACCAAAATAAAGCCAAAACAAAAGCTAGAGGATTTGGATTTGCCGATGAGAAAAAATGTGGAAACCCCTAGATTACAGCAAAAGCTGTCAGCATTATCAGACATTTCCAGTGATGAATTATAAGATGTATAACAATGTGCTTGTTGGTATACCTGTAATGTGAGTGCTCTCCTGTGTGTTGTCTCCTGAGGAAGGACCTGCTCCATTACCATCTCCATTGTTGGTTGTATTGGATGGAACAGTTGCAAGGAGCCCTGAAAAGCATTATGAGAAAACCCATTAAACCCAAGATCGTACAGCAAAACAACTGCATTTAATTGAACAAATCAATCAATAATAGAAATAAATAAAGTTAAACTAGATTTTTAAATGTTGGGATTTTGTAAAAGCTCTGCATTTTCTTACCGAGGCCCCGGTAGCAAGACAGATTTTGGTAAATTTGCTTCATTCGCTCGATGTTTATCCTGCTGGCCTCAGCGTGATTAACCATGGGTTTAGGGTAGTGCACTCCGATTATGCATTTTGCGAACTTCTGAACACTTTCTGGGGCATTCCAAGGGTCATCGATGAATTTGGCAGGGAAGCCCCTCAATATGGGCAAATAGCGTCTGTAATAATAATAAATCAGCTTTCAAAGAGAATAGTTTCAATATTGAACCAAACTGGTCAATTATAGTAAACCGAATATTAGTGATTGTAAGCAAGGGTCAAGAGTGACACCTTATATAGTCTCCATTAGGGTCAGTACGTCGACCGAAGCCCACCGGACAGTAACAGTGAAAGAACTGCTGGAAGAATGAGCTGCATGAAAGCCACATCTAGGGCTGTCGCGGTGAGGGAATTTCCCTTGCGATAATTTTGAGTGGCTCAATAGCGCGGTATGCGTTTTTACCGCCATAAATATACATACATACACACACATACATATATATATATATAATTCGTGTGTGTATGTGTTACGATATAACTAACGAGGTCATATTCAGAAGACAATGAAACCGAAACCAAATAGCGTTGAAACAGGAAGTGAAGTAAACAGAAGAGAATGACAAAATAACGGCCCACTTAACAGAACATAAACCTGACAATAAGATCGTTAGGCTATCGTTAGCCTATATGTATAACAGTTAGCCTAGTTGTAATCTGATTTTCTAATCTGACTGGACAAGAGACTTTCTATTGATATTTCCTCCTGCGAGCGTTCTAAACGGTCTGTCAGTCAGTGCAGTTACAGTGTTGCGCCACAAGGTGGTGGAACGTGACTAATTCAACTACACGTTCAAAAACGCTGATTCATTCATTCAAAGAGACGTAATGAAACACGCTGTTGAAATCATTTTAACTTTGAGCACCACTTTAGAAGGCTCAGCTGACCAGCTATGCCTTAATGCTAAGACAGAGATTTCGCTTTCCTTAAACATGACAACCTATTTTCACAAATATATATGACTCGGCCTGGAGGACAGATGCAAGTAATCGCACGCGCTCAGTCGATCTCTCTCTCATTCACGGTCTGTTTAGGCTTGTTAAGTGCAAATCTACGGAGCCTCTGTACAAATCAGCATGGTACACATTATGTTATCATTACTAACTTCATTAGTTTAATATTCAGTCCACATGCATGAAGTGTAAAACGAGAAGGGCATAACCTTACGAAAAAATTAAACACGGAAAAAATCGCGGTTGCTGCAGTTCTTGCATTCCTCTGCGGTTTGCTCGTCAATAGCGCGGTATTGCGATATTGCGGTTATCGCGACAGTCCTAGCCACATCCAGCTTCCAGCATTGACGCTCCAGTCTGCATCCAGCAACAACTCCTCAAACACCTTAAAAAACAAAACAAACAATGTCAATATAGATCCTAATGCAACCACAACAGATCTTTTACTGAAATCCAGTATTGCAGTACCTTCATGCCCTCTTCCCAGCTGATCCACAGGTCTCCACGTGTGAGGAAGCAAGCAACAGCATGCCTGGCTAGATGGTGGATCCACCCCTCCTGCCTCAACTGGGTCAGAATGGCATCAATCCACGGGAAACCAGTCCTGCCCTCTGCCCACTTCGCCAGAGCGTCGGGGTTCCTGTCCCATGGGATCTGCACGCAGATGGGATTGAACTCCATTTTGTCGAAGTGTGGGTTGTTAGTGGCGACTGTGTAGAAGAACTCACGCCAGAGCAGTTGACCGTAAAGGGACAGTGGTGGGACGCTGTTTTTCTTGACCTGTGATTGAAAAGACAGGGAAAAAAAGGATGAGAATAACGTTTTATTTTACGATCAGTTATCATAATGATAAACAGTACCTTAAATGTCAGAGTAAGACAGTGCTTTTCTCTTTACCTTTCTGTAAAGGTCTGTGAGTTTGAAATAGAAAAGTCTGCAGGAGAGGCAGCCAAACCGGAGGTAAGGGCTCAGGCCTGTGGGGCTGGCCAGCAGGGAATTAGCATTCATTCTGGGACGCTCGAAATTAAGCCACCCAAGCCTGAAAAAAATATTTTTTGTTGTTAAAAGAAGTCTCTTATGCTCACCAAGGCTGCATTTATTCAATGAAAAATACAGTAAAAACAGTAATATTCTTACAATTTAAAAGAACCGTTTTCTATTATATATTTAAAAATGTAATTTATTTCTGTGATGGCAAAGCAGAATTTTTAGCAGCCATTACTCTTCAGTGTCACATGATCCTTCAGAAATCATTGTTATATGCTAATTTGATGCTCAAGAAGCATTTCTTCTTATTATCAATTATTATTATCAATCAATAAAAACATTTGTGCTGCTGAATATTTTATTGATATTTTATTTTCAGAAGTCTGATGAATAGAAAGTTCAAAAGAACATCATTTATTTGAAATAGACATTTATGTGTAATGTTCGTATTTTGAATTAGATTTTGTTTTTATGATTTCTGCTTTTATGTTAACTTTAGTTAAAGTTTTGTCTTCTTTATTAGTTTTATTGTTGTTGTTTTCAAATATGTCTAGTTTTTATTCATTTTTTCCCCCGTTATTTTAGTACATCAAATTAAACTAAGTGAAAATGAGGAATGTTGTTTTGGAAAGTAGCTGAAATAAAAAAAATTATTTTTATTTTTTATTTCAGTTAACATTTATTTTATTTCAAGAAACCAAAATGTTATGGTTTTAGTTTTAGCTAACTATAATTAACCCTGCTCAGTACGCAATGATTATTATACTAAATATGGTGTAATACAATGCAAAAAAAAGCACAATGGTAAAACAGTGTAATAAAGTAGATGTCTACCTTCCTCTCCAGGTGTCTCTCTAGTCGAGTCAGAGCTTCAGTCTCTCCACCAGGCCATACAGCTGAGGACAGCCCATCGGTTTCAAAACCTGAAGACACAAATCCTCATTCAAAAGCTCATTTACAACAGACACATGCACACATACACAAACACAGGTGTCTCACCGAGCTCTTCCAGAGAGGGAACACCAAACTTGTCATCGTGGTCATTGCTGACTGGTGTGGTGCATTTGCCCATGACTTCAGCCGTGATAGTCTCCGCTGGTATTTCCACAGCATCCATTCTACTAATGAGCATCTGAAATCGTTTACAGGTGAGAGGAGACTGTCCTCCATTTAATTCTATGATCCTAGAGACAGAGAACACATGGGATAATTAGAATATGTACACAATATTATGGCATTTTAGTTGTCATGAAGCAAAGAGTAAAGCCAATAACAAGAACTTGCATGATTGTCAATACAGCAAATGCTAATATACTTTTGAACACAAAACTTTTAAAAGTCAACAAAGTATCAAACAGCCTCATCACATATTCATGTAAACCTTTAGAAATTGAATATAAAATTAAAATTGAATATATTCTATAATATTACAATTTTATTAATAACAATAATTGAAGCAATTTTATTGTTTTGATATTTTATGCAATTAGAATTTTTCATTTAACAATCTATATATAAGAAATGTTACTGTTTTCATATTTGTATACTTCATTATACAACAAAAAGTACAGTGAAAAAATACACAGAAAAAATTAAATGCAATAAGTGATCATATTAGAATTTGAATAAGAACAACAGTTAAATTTTATTTCCATATTTTTGTACAAAACTATATATACATTTTATATACAATTATATATACAATTACCATATTAAATTACAAAATTGAAAATAAAATTACTTAAATTGTGTTATATTATGAATCAAATTCTACTGATAATATTATAAAATGTATTAATATATTTTAATTTAGTACTTTTTGTAATATAATTCATATCACAAAAATGTCACACAATCACGCAATGTTTTGAGTATTACAATATTTAGAATTTTAAATGCCATTTCTTTTTGATATTCATATGACTAGGCCTGTCACGATAACAACTTTTTGTTGTGCGATATACTGCCCCAGAAATAATTGCGATAAGCGATTATTATTGTCATTTTAAAGACCATTTTATGCCACTGAATATATAATCATAATGTAACAGCATAATAATGCAAGAAGGCCTACACACTTCCAAATGACAACAAACTTAATTTTTAAGAATATTTAGATTAAGTATCAAAATATTAGATACCTTAAAAAACCTGAATAAATAGTAAATAAACATTTTCTAACAAAAAGTGCAACGTAACAAGTAGAAAAAAGAAAAATGCACAAAGAACTTGTATGGAGATTTTTCCATCTACAGATTTTTCCCTGACCTTCTTTTCTCTGTAAATTAAAGGTGCACACTATTGCTGAAAAACACAATCATTACTTAGCAGTCAGTCTATCTTTGTGATCTCAGTATCTGTCTGCATAACATTCTCAATGACGAGTTAACTATCAGGCATGATGGGCAACAGCTTCCCACAGGACTGCTGGCAGCTACGTGGGAGTCATATGGGCATATGGCAATGATTACTGATACACTCACTTGTCCAGATCATAGAGTGTGTGGGAGATCCTGACGAAGACTTCCACCCCTGCCTCAGTGGCCAGCTTCTTAATGGCTGCATCACGATCCTTCCCGAAGGGCTCGGAGTCGTACTCATATGACAGTCGGGTGATTTTCCACTCCTAGGGAGGAGAGAAAAAAAAAAAAAAAGAGATGGAGAGTCAAATAAGGGGCAGTCACAGAACAGCATGTACTGACAGAGAGTTTACATAAAACTGTTGGAACAGGCTCTAGGCGGTCTGTTCGCTGACCTTGAAAAGTCTTGGAAAGACATCCGTGGGTTGTCCTCTGATGACAAAGAGGCGGGGAGTTAAGTTTGCGAAGGCTGGAGTCCAAGTCCTCAAGACACTGCGGCAAAAACCTGTAATACAAAGAATAATTAATCAAATTTTAATAAATCACAAGCAACTGAAATGGTAGTTTAGATAGACATAATTGTTCATTTTAATCTCTTGCAGGAACGGGAGAGAGATTTTTGTGACTTGTCCAGCAGAGAGCACTAACAGACAAATGGTATGGAAAAACACATTGGTTATACTCTGCATTACATGGGCTGTGTTCAGAATGGAATGGAACACTAGTTTACAGTCAGTGAACGGCATACTTTTCTCTGAAAACAGACGACATTCAAAGGCCTCAAACCCAAATTTTGTTTTCAAAACTTTATTTAATCTATGGGAACTCCTGGATTCTGTACATTAAAGAAAAGTAACTAAAACAATTATAAATAATATTAAATAATTATAAAATAATTACACTTCAGGACTTAAGATGTTTTAAGAGCTGAATTTTCTTCAGGGTTCCTGAACTTCTTGCTCTATTTAACCAAAGAATTTGCATGACTCTTCCAGTCTTTTGTGATATATTGGTTAAGGATTAAGAATAAGAGTTTTAACTAAATTTCTACTTTATAAATTATTTTAGAGCTTGGCATAAGTGGATTTTTTTAAAAATTCTTTTAGAAAATGCCCATGGAGTTGGCATGACCTTATTATGTTGCATGGGGCTAAAAGTGGCAATCAGTAATCATTTCAGTTATTTATTAGATTATTATAGACCTTATCAAACTTCAGGTCATGGTTTGGTTGAATAAGCCAGTTAAAACCTCTACCTTATACCTGGACACACATAAAATAGTAAGTATGATTTTCTTTTTAGCTGCCCTGAATATATAGCATAATAAGGGTATAATATAAGAATATAATCCTATCTGAGCAAGAGTTACAGTGGGGCAAAAAAATATTTAGTCAGCCACCAATTGTGCAAGTTCTCCCACTTAAAAAGATGAGAGAGGCCAGTAATTTTCATCATAGGTATACCTCAACTATGAGAGACAAAATGAGGAAAAAAAATCCAGAAAATCACATTGTAGGATTTTTAAAGAGTTAATTGGTAAATTCCTCGGTAAAATAAGTATTTGGTCACCTACAAACAAGCAAGATTTCTGTTCCCTCGTGTAGGACTGTGTATCAGCAGCAAGTCCCTTCCTAAAGAAGTCTGATCCGTTACAGCACATCCCAGGACAAAATGAAGATGAAACAGCTCACACATTCTCAAAGTCACGGTCATTTCAATGGATCTGCATATGAAAGCACACATGCAGCTTATTCTACAAGTCAGAATTACATGGTTTGTCTTCAAGTACAAATTTGAGCTTGTTAGAAAAACATTAAGCAGCCATTTTCAACATTGATAACAATAAGAAATGAGCAGAAAGCGGAAAACAGCATATTAGAATGATTTCTGAAGGATCATGAGACTTAAGACTGGAGTAATGACTGCTGAAAATTAGGCTTTGCTATCTTGGAATAAATTCCATTTAAAAAAAAATGTATATACTGTATATATATATATATATATATATATAAAATAGTTTCAACAAATATTAGGCAGCAAAACCGTTTTCAACATTGAAAACATTGCTTCTTGAGCATCAGATCAGCATATTAGAATGATTTCTGAAGGATCATGTGACACTGAAGAAGTAATAGCTGTTGAATATTCACAAAAATAAATAACATTTTATAATATAATCGAATAGAAAGGTTATTTTAAGTTGGAATAAGATTTTACAATATTACTATGTTTACTGCATTATGGTGTAGGCTACATTTTATAATTAAGGATTTATAGTTTCAGATTTAATAATTACATATTTGTGACCCTGGACCACAAAACCAGTCATAAGGTTCAATTTTCGAAATTGAGATTTATACATCATATGAAAGCTGAATAAATAAGCTTTCCATTGATGTATGGTTTGTTAGGATAGAACAATATTTGGCCGAGATACAACTATTTGAAAATCTGGAATCTGAGGGTGCAAAAAAATTTAAATATTGAGAAAATCACCTTTAAAGTTATCCAAATGAAGTTCTTAGTGATGCATATTATAAATCAAAATTTAATTTTGAATATATTTACAGTAGAAAATGTACAAAATATCTTAATGGAACATGATCTTTACTTAATATCCTAATGATTTTTTTGCATAAAAGAAAAATCAATAATTTTGACCCATACAATGTATTTTTGGCTATTGCTACAAATATACCCCAGTGACTCAAGACTGGTTTTGTGGTCCAGGGTCACATTTATCATTTAAAATAAAATTGTGCTTCTGCATAGAAACAATCAGTATTTTTTTTTGGCATATTATTCATTTCAGATTCAGTTTCTGAGCTGACTTTCACTGTAAAGACAGCAGCACAGTACAAATGAGAACAACTTCCTGTCGAGCAGTACTGTACAAACAGGCTGTGCATGTGTATGCAAAATTAAACATTACTAAGACATCAGTTGGGGTGTCTTTGACACATAGACCTAATACAAAAGAACAAAAGTATTGCAGGTCAATTCAGGGGACAAATTATACACGTGACCTCTCAAAAAAGCCTTTGCGTGGATTGTACTGTAATTTCGGTTACAGTTTAGCAACCTGGCATACCGTAGGCAAGAGGCTGTTTGGAGGAGGTGGGAAAAGTAGGTCAGTGCTGAAAGGAGAATGAGGTAATAGCATCTACTAACACACTGACCTACTTCCTCACATCCTGCACCAAAGGGGAGAGGAGAGGTGGCTGAGCTGTACGTTACATCACAACTCTGCTATGAGGGTGACCGCTCAAGCCTCTCACAAGGATATCCCACCACATAGTACACTCTTATAAAGATATATCCGCCCAGCACTAACATTAGGCAAAAAGAATGGCAGTTAGTTTGTATTTACTCTTTTGGTATTGTACAGGTCCTTACAAAATGCTAAAACAATCACAAATTAAACTTAATTATATGGTCTTTAATATATCTACATAAGAAAAGGCTCCTCATGGCCACCAAGTAAAATTTAAATGGAAAAATAAGCTTACAGCATATAAATAAACAAACTGGCAATGTAAAGCTTCTTACTTACAATAAACACAAACTTTCTCATCACACAGCATGGCACAGCTTACAGAAACTCTGCTACATACTGAGTAGGGATGTAGCGATTACCGGTTAGACGATAAATCATGATAAAATCCCCCACGGTTAGTATTACCGTTTCATATTTTAATTATCATTAAACCCGTATTAGATTACCGCGATTTGAACAACTCACGATAAATAAATACTGTCCAGCATAAAGCACAGTTTTAAGTAACAGTCTCACGTGCGCACAGCACACAGAGTAGTTTCGTTTTGAGTGAAAACAGGGCAGAAAAGCTGGGAGGTTTTAAAAGAGTGCTAAGGGAATTATACAAATGAATATATGAATGAATGAATTATATGAATGTATCTCTGAAGGTTCTGACTGTCTTCAGAAACAATTCGAAGGCATTTTGTTTTCATCTTCGCTCCATGTAATACCTAAAGTGTTCTTAATCGCAATACTGCTTTGTTCACGGAGGTTACAGGAAACAGCTTTTCCACAAGCGCCACCTGCTGTCAGTGAGTGGATTTACAGAGACTTATATTTACATTCAGCCTGTGTGCAGTTTCTGTCTGGCAAAAAACGGACCGAATTTGCATGCCCTTCTGTAAATTTTGACCAGTTGATGAAAAACAAGCTTATGTGGATTCTACACATTTAAACAATTCAGATAAGTTATCTAGAATTATTTATGGAGCAGATAAAATACATATAATCATTTATTAATCAATTATCATTTTGACTCAACTTTTCTTAATTTTAAGGCTGAAATGTGAGGTTTACCTTTTTATAAAACTTTTTCAAAGCTTTATTTGAACATTTACATTAGATATTTCAACATGCTATTAAACTGTTGTCAGTCAAGTTATTTAAAATCCGGACATCATTGGTAATGTTATTGTTTTAGTGATTATGCAAACAAAAAGTAATTTTATTTGTTGTGTGCTGATTTTTAAATATAAAACTTGGTGAAGTGATTTATGTGTTTGTACTTTTTGAACATCTCCAGCACATTTTAACAATACCGTGATAATACTGATAACCGTGATAATTTTGGTCACTATAATCGTGATAAGAAATTTTCATTTCGTTACATACCTAATACTGAGCTATTTATATTCAAACAATGAAACAAAAAGACAGGTATAAGATGTCACTCTCACCATTCAAATGTAGATCTGCACTCAATTCAGCTTTTAAATCACATAAGTGTACGTGTACATGTGCATCTCAATAAATTAGAATGTCGTGGAAAAGTTTTTTCAGTAATCGTGGAAAATGTATTTCAGTAATTCAACTCAAATTGTGAAACTCGTGTATTAAATAAATTCAATGCACACAGACTGAAGTAGTTTAAGTCTTTGGTTCTTTTAATTGTGATGATTTTGGCTCACATTTAACAAAAACCCACCAATTCACTATCTCAACAAATTAGAATATGGTGACATGCCAATCAGCTAATCAACTCAAAACACCTCTAATGAAATTGAAAACAGATACTATTGACTAGTCACTATGTATGTGTAGAGAGAGACTAGTATTCAATCAATATTAGTATTATTGATTAGTACAGTAGTAGTATGCATTCAATAGTTACTAGTGAAATTGCTAGAGCTAACTGAATAAACGATAGAAACATTGGCCCCAGGTAACTATTTCCATTCTTACTGGTAACAAACTTTGCACTTATGCTACTGAATTTTATGTGGGTCTATGGTTATTTACTTCACTAGTATGTATTCCAGTTTTTGCTGGTACATTTTCAGATTTCACTAGAAACTATACTAGTAACTTTCGTCACTAACTATTCTAGTTTCACTAGTGCTTATTCTAATATCTTTTGTACAAGACATGGGTACCAGTATACAGAACATGAGAATAAAATAAATACTAGTACCTGATGACTAATTACTAGTAGCACTGGAAAAGGCACTAACAACGACTGGAATACATACTAGTCTGAACAGTTATTATCTAAACCAGTGTTTCCCAACCGGGGTGCCGTCTGTCGAGAGCAGGGGTGCCATGTAAAAAAATCATTTTTTAATATTTTTAAATTGCTAAAATGTTCAAAAAAGCATCTATTATATAATATCCATTTCTGATGTCGCCAATAGTTAGAGATGCACAGAAATTCCGAAAATTAATTCACCGAAAGTTAGTTTCACTTTCACGTCGTGTGACGCTCTGCGTATTATCCGCTCTATGCGTGTGCTCCGCTCAGTCGCTCCACTCGTATATCGTTTATGCTCATCGGAACAGCAAAGTCCACTCAAAAATTGAGCCGACAGGAAACATCGATGTAATACAGTATTGTTTCTGTCTGCAGTAGCCCTACTGTGTTGTAACATGGTGTGGTATATGGGCAACTCTGGTAACGCTGCCCTCTCATTAATTGATCTGCTAACGGCTATGTTATGCTCGCGTGTTCTGATAATAATATAGCTTTCTAGGACTAAACATTATTTGGATAATTGGTAAAAATAAAATAAAAAATAAAAAAAATAAAAAATCTCTTAATAGCCCTACTGTTAGACCTGAAAAACTAAAAAGCTATTTATTTAATTTGTAGGCCTGTCGTTATTTTTTATTTGTGCTATCATTATTAATTTCTTTATTTGTTCTTATTTTATTACTGACTGTTTACTTGCCATTTTTTATTCAATTCAAAGTTTGAAATCAAGCTATCTCGTGCTACTGCAACAAAATTACCCAACTGTAAAATCAAAAATACACAGAGCGAGCAAAAATTTGTGAGATATTGAGATATATAACCGATGATGTTATAATGGTAATTAAACAATGTTTACATATGAATAAAAGCCTACATTAAAATCTGTCATATAAATTGCTCTCCTCATTAGAAATTAGCCTACTGATTGCCTCCATGGACAAAAATTTTTAGAATATTAAAGGGGTCATATGATGCGATTTCAAGTTTTCCTTTCTCTTTGGAGTGTTACAAGCTGATTGTGCATAGATGAGATCCCTGAAGTTGCAAAGACTAAAGTCTCAAAACCAAAGAGATATTCTTTATCAAAGTTAAGACTCTGCCACGCCCCCCTAAAACGGCTCGTTCTAACACACCCCCACATATCTACCTCACTATGTGGAAATATTTGCATAATGCCGCCCAAATGTGCACGCAAAGAAAGGCGGCGTGGTTTCAGTAACCGCAGTTAATGTTGAAGCAGCCATGTCAGGGAGACGCTGTGTGTTTCTAGGCGAAAGCAAAAGCACTTTATTTGGCCTTCCGAAAGCAGATGCATTTAGGAATCTTTAAGATTACTTACAACAGAACAGCAATGCATTTTATGGACGACCGTTTCATGAACCTAGGAGAGGAGGTAATTCTGACTTTGCTATGACAATCTGGCGCTTCTGAATCAGCTACTGTTTTGTTATTAGTTTAAGTATTTGCTATTGACTGTTCAAATGCAGAGTTTTGCGCATTGTGTGTTCGTGCGGGAGCGAGCAAGTGAGAGAGAGAGAACGAGAGAGAAAGACTCATGGCTGTATTAGATCAAAAGTGTGCTTCTACTAAATACTGAGCAAAGGGTCTGAATACTTAGGACCATGTGATATTTCAGTTTTTCTTTTTTAATAAATCTGCAAAAATGTCAACAATTCTGTGTTTTTCTGTCAATATGGGGTGCTGTGTGTACATTAATGAGGAAAAAAAATTTACTTAAATGATTTTAGCAAATGGCTGCAATATAACAAAGAGTGAAAAATTTAAGGGGGTCTGAATACTTTCCGTACCCACTGTATATGACACATTCTGCAGTTCTTCCCTGCTGTACTGAATATCAATACTTTTCAAAGTATCATATTGAAGTTAGAAATTCAAATATTGTGACAAAATTAATTTTGTAGGGTGCCACAAATTTGTTAAAATTTCCAAAGGGTGCCGCCGACTAAAAAAAGGTTGGGAAACACTGATCTAAACCATAGACTAACATAGAATTTAACTGCTAAAATACTACTAATTTTAACGTATCTGTTAAATGAGACAATAGTTATTTACTACTAGCAACTATCCCTAAATGACTAGTAGCAAATGACTAATGTCTAATTCAACAGATTCTAACGTTAGTCATTTAAATTACTAGCAGTATATTAGTTTAGTTACTATTGGATTACTTACTAGAAATGACAAATAAGCACTATGAATAGCTACTAGTGAAAATGAAAATATACTAGTTACTATTGAAATACTTATTATTATTAACGAATAAGGGGAGTGTTACAGGATCTGATGTCTGCACACACCTGCTCGGATCCAAAGTAGGGCTGCACGATTAATCGCAAGCGATATTTAACGCGCATTTTATCAGTAAAGCCGGTTCTTTAATCAGCGGTAAATCTCCATCACCTGCGGCCTTTCACATTGAGAAAGGAAACTCACCTCCATCTGCTGATTCCCACGTTGGACGATCCTGCAAACCAGGGGTCCAGTATGTAAACGCATCTCAGAGTATCGGCTCCTATTACAGAGTCCCGCAGAGATGGGTTATCATGGAGCCTTAAGCCCTTCCTGAACCACCATTCGTATTGACCACCATTATTCCTAATGTACCGCAGTCCCTTCTGAGATCACGAATGCTCCAGCAAACCCGGACTTCTCAATTCAGGTATAAAGTCTGATCTGGTTACGTCTTCTTCAGCCTTGCTCAAGAAAAACTTTTCTCATGTTGAAGCTGGATCTCTGCGCT